TGTAAGCATATAAGTGAAGTGTTTGGGATATTATGTCCTCAATGGGTAAAGCAGTTTGACTGAATATTCAAAGTTCACTTTGGACTTTACACTTTCCTGGCGGTTTTCGGTCCTCTTCAATGGCTTCCACAGCCTCATCATTCTCTTCTGCATATGCTTCTAAGAAACGGAGTAGTCTGATGTCTCTTCTCAGGGTACCTTTTCTTGTCCTCACCAACACCTGTCGAACCAGTTGGTCTTTGCCTTGCATGATTTCTTCCACAACTGCCTTCGGCCACAGACCTCTTGAGGTGCGTAAATCACAAACTAGAACTAGATCACCCTGCCTGAGCTCTCTAACTTTAGTTAACCATTTCTGTCTCTGCTGTAGTTTCGGTAAGTACACTTTACTCCATCTACACCAAAGCATGTCGGAAAGATGTCTTACCTGCTTTCATCTACTGTTTCATCGGTAAGTTGATCGTCGAGCTTTCGAGAGGCTGATCGTTCGCCAGTGTCAGCAGTTGTTTCGGCGCTATGGTGTCACGGGATCAGGTGCGTCAGGTACCCCTATACTAGAGACTTGTCATTTACGGACATGGCCAATTTGGGACTGTCAAAGCCGTCGAAGCCCGTTTCGTACGTTTGTTCGAATAAATGATGTAGGTCGATTATTTCGGAGCGAACCATATTTATCTTCTATAAGCGATCCACTACAAATGACGCCAATTGTTCCTACTTGAACTCGAGCAGGTTGCTCGGACCCAACACCATCCAGCTCAATGATGTTCTAACAGCATACGGATCACTAGCACTCCCGAGCCTCTGATCCGAAGCCCAATACAGCTATGAGTTATCACTTCCTACCAGAAGCTCTATCTTCCTCTTCGATTCTGGAAACCGGAAGTCGCCTAAGTGAGACCATCTGTAGAAATTATTTCTTATTGTGCCGATTCCAAGTGTTTTAGAGAGACGACTGACTGACCTGACACAGTCTAACCGAACTGCCTCACCACCATCTATTGATTGAACAGGTACACTAACCGACTACGACTTTACCTGGCATCGACCAGTGACGATGCAAAGGTTCAGTATCGTCATGGACCACTGCACTCCGATATGTTGAAGCAAGTGGAAATCTATCAACAAAGTGTATGACCAGTTATTTTCCGAGGCTGGTGTCCGAACAGCGCCAACAGGACCAGAGAATAGAACGGGCAATACACTAAGTGAAACAGTAGGCTTTTCGGCATGACTTAGAGGGAAACTCGATCCTTCGTTATTCAGTGTCCCGGGGTTCTTACCCTGGTCAGCATGTAGCAATGGGTGATGAAGTAACCTAAGGTTACTTGATCCACAATAGTTTCTTGCTCGACAGCTTTTTAAGTCATGATTCGGTTTGAGACACCATTGGCGCAATCGGGGAAAACAACAGAATTCTAGACGTTATTGTAGTTAAGTTTTCGGCATTCATCACCTTGATCTAACTAATGATGTCTTTCACAGGAAATGCATTTTAGGTGAGACCGTTCTACGGATGTTACAGCCTTCGAGTAAGCGGTACGACCTCGGGGATTTAATCTGCTAATTCTATTTGTGTTGGCAGTTGATCCGAAGGTTCGTGGAACAAAAGATAGGTAAGCATCAACGACGTTGGCTATTTCATCCACAAACTTCGTCAAATCAATAAAAGTTGTCTCTTTCCGTCCGGATGACCTTAGTGGCATGCTTGGTCCACTTGAATCACAACTGGTTTGGCAATCATCTAACTAGCGCTAATTGTTCGCGACGCGTTCAGATAAGCTCCGTATTTCAACTGCTTCAGCGTTAAGTAACAGGACCGCAGTTCCATAGCTAAACGAGGGAGAAAGCTGCATACTCTTTGGGCTTGATGTTAGGTCCATGAGTTGAATCACTGATGTAGGTCCTCGCTATCATATGAAGTCGTCCGAAGCGCTTGCGCATAATACTCATTGCTTCTTCGAAACCTCCAGCAGGTTCCAGGATCAAACAGCTTTCGATGGCTACTTTGGCCTCACCACAGCAATATTGTATCATATATGGAAGTCGGATCGTCAAGTCGGAAATTTTTCGGGTCATGTTGGCTTCAAAGCCTCGCATAAAAGTCCAGTATTGCGCTGGATCACCATCGAATGTGATCAGCTCTCCCTTAGGGAGACAGGACGTCATGTTCGGCCTGAAACGGTTGGATTCGGATTCAAGTAAACAGTCAGTGGCAGCATATCAATCCAAATGGAGATCTGCTCCGCGGTCCTGAACCTCCGAAACTGAAACTACCAAAGGATCATACAAACGCGCCATCGGCGGCATGCGCCTAGCAACAGGTTACCGGCGTTAGAGAGGACAGTCGAAGAGAAACATCGGAAGGAAGACCACCAACCTCGTAAGGCAAATAATCTGCCCGTTTACTGCTTAACTGATCTGACGTGACCTCGTGATCAAAACAAGTATCATCTTGATATTGCTTAGCCGGCAGACGCATCTTAGTCAGAGCCGACTCCAGCATTCTAATCCGGGTCTCAGCATTCTGTAATTTCTCAGCATCAGTAATATCAACAGCATCACAGCCGTCCTCAACATCAAAATCAGAAACAGACATTATTGTCCTATTCAACTATGTAGACTATACGAAGCCCAGACTAGATGGTCGCACGAGACGTACAATAAACTGTAGGCCAGTAAACCTATAATATACGCACGGTCTGGGCAGAGAAATTAAACCGTAAATTCCTTTCACAGTGGTTCTAAAATACAGATTAAATACTGTGATCAATTTAACGAATTGGTTTGCAATCGTAACAGGAAAGAACAGAAACTGCAAGACTTACGACAGCATGGTAAAACGGTACAGCGTAACAGTTTGCTAATCGGCAGCCTGTCAAGGATGAGATGTTTGATCTTGAGGAGTCAAAGGTAAGCCAAAAATACGAAGTGGCAACGTAAAATGTTTCCAAATGCAACTGTTAGAAGAAAACGTATAGATTGCTGTAAGCATATAAGTGAAGTGTTTGGGATATTATGTCCTCAATGGGTAAAGCAGTTTGACTGAATATTCAAAGTTTCCCTTTTAACATTACGATGACGTTGATCTTTTAGTCGACCTTGGGTTGAGCCTGACTTGGAACGTTTGGAGATGAAACTGTCTTTATCTGCGCAATTTGCATTCCCTGGTGGAACATTTTCTGTTTGGCATTGTGACACAGCTGAGGACATCGGTAATAAGATCGGCATACCCATCAAGATTGTCAAACGCAAACGCAACACGTTAGTTCAGTTCATTGGAACGGGTACGCTCTGAATACCGAAGTGTGGTGGATACAATTGACGTTTCCCTCCCCGTCAAGTCAATACTGGTAGTTAACAATGATGGAGAACATAGGTGCAAATCAATACAAAATATAAAAGAAAGAGTCAAGGGAAGAGGTAAGCAATATCCGTCGTTAGGTAAAGTTACCAACCTGGTATAAGGAACCAAATGCGGGCTTGCAATCGACTCCGCGACTACATTTAGTCGAACGTGATGTCCGGAAGCTGACTAGACGAATCCAAAGATCCCATCCGGTCCGGTACTTTATGTCATCAAATCGGCTTGTCAACTTGCAGTTTCGCACACCTAAGCATCGTAGCGACAATCAATACAGAGTGAGTAAGATGGCTGTAGGAAAAGGATGGAAATAGCTAGTGATTCAGTTTTAACAGATACTTCTTGGTGACACTGAAGGCCTCATTCCCAATATCCATCTTCAGGTTTCAATCTTGCTCACACCATGTCCTCTGCAGATGCAGGCAGTGCCCCACACACAGTAATAACTAAAAGTGGTCGGTTTATCAAGACCTTTGATGCAGAGAGATTATGTTTCGGTATCTAGTATTATCCAGTTGCTGATCATAACAATAAAACCGATTGTTTCTGGCCATTTTTATACACTACTTCGTATGCATGCTGCGTAGAAAAATCCCGCATATCTTCACAGAGGAATTGCCAACGAATCCTTGGTTAATTTCTAGGAACCGCTCAGGCACTAACTCTGAACGCTGACGCGTGCGATGTTCGCTAAATACCTGCCAATATCTTCCATAGCATGTAGGGTCAAACATGTATCCGACACAAAGCTACGAACAGCTAAGAGCAGTTAAGGAAAAGCATATGGCGGCACGGACCAAGTCAAGCTGGTGAGGAACAAGTGATTGAAAATCCATTGCATTAAATCTAATGGCTGACTTTATGATACAAAGACCGTAACTGCTCCCTACTCAGTGCACTTTGAAGAGAATGAATCACCCTTGTCCCAGCAGTTTAGTTAAATTCTGGTAGCCTTTTGAGGGTCAATACAAAGTGTGTGTGTAGTGATCTCAAGCCTTTTATATACGAAAAACAAAATCACACCTTAAAAAGGTGGGGTGTTAGTTTGCTCCACATTTCTTTTTATCGCTTCCTGTGCCGTCTGACTATGATCATTGGCCTGCGTGTGGCTCAGTCTCTTCAACTCCAAAACCGTCCATTGTGATCTGTAACTTGACTTAAGCTAAACCGTGCCAATTTCTTTCTCTCTTCGTGTCCCATGCGATCATTGTCAGCCCCAAGGGAGGTGCTGCCTGCTTGAACTCATCTCTGACTGCTCAAGGACAACCCAAAACTACCAGCGTAGTGAATACTTGTTTTCCGAGTTTTGTACTATGCCACTCCAAACCCAAATTCTCTCATTAGAAAGCATAGACCTCATTACTCTCCATATGCGATCGTTAAGTTTAGTCACTGTTATAGCAGAAAATACCAAAGCGAACCTTGATTGCACGGATACTAACTTCATACTCCTCATTTTCCTTTCAGGTTATCAATTAGATAACCTCTTCGTTGGAAGAGCCCGCCGGTGGGTGGCTCTAATTGCTGGTATAATTGAAATGGTTTGGTTCAGTGGTGTCAGCTACGGATACAATGCCCTGATTCCTGCTTATACAGAATTGAAGGTGTTCAGCGAATATTGCAATGGAACTGATTGCACCCAACAGCAAAAAATGTTCAGTTACGCTTTTATTGTTTCCGTGGTTGCACAAATGTGCCTCATTCCACTAGCTGGTCTTCTTATGGATCGAATTGGCTTGCGAGTGGTCAAGTTCATCTGCGTGACCCTCATTTCCATCGGATTGCTCATGTTCGGCTTCACTACCGGTAAAACAGGCCCCCTACTCTTCGCTGGAATGATATTTGTCGCTTTTGCCTCTCTGGCCAGCCTGTTTTGTAACCACCAAATTAGCTCACAATTCCCACATAATCGTGGTCTGGCTATTTCTCTTCTTTCCGGCGGGTACGACTCTAGCACAGCAATATTTTTCATATTCTCTCGGACCTATCCACAAATTTCGCTCCAAACATCCTTCATTATCTTGGCATGTGGGTGTTTTATTTACGGATCTATAATGGCACTATTCTTTCTGACCCAATATTCCAAGGATATGGCAACGATTGGTTGTCGAGATACAGAGATACCTCAGTATCCCGTCCAAACGAATGAAGAATCCACTGCTTTGAATGTGAGTTCTGATTTTGTTTTATACCATGGTATTTTAACTTTCAGCTGTTCGACTGAGACATTATGCAATGTAACCACTCGACCCACTAGGAAGATTTACTACACGGGCATGAATATTGACAACATTGTTCAATGTTCCGAGTCAACCATTTGCCAACAATAACTGTCGGTGACAGACCTGTACTCACTTTCTTCATTGATATTTCACACACCAAGCTGCACAACAGGACACCGGTATAAACTTATCGTACCGAAGTTGAAGCGGGTCGCTCACCAACTCTGTTTCGAACGCAGAGTGGTGAATGTCTGGAACGACCTGCCGCAGCACATAATAGAGGCGAACTCAGTGTCCGAATTTAAGAAGCTCCTAGACAAACACTTTGCAGAGGCAAAATATAGAGAGCGGGACGATAACTAAGGAGTATATGTCCAAGAGCAACGAATGATGCAGCTACACAGAGGAAGCTCTACTCGCATATTCGAACCAGTATTCAGTATTCAGTATTGCCTCAGTCTACACATCAGTTGCCCGCTTTTTACTTAAGTTTTGCATCATACTACAAAGGCTTTACTTAAGTCACCCGACTAGTGTGTAGTTCGAATCAAGTTGTTAGTCTGTCTCATGAACCTGCTGACAGCTTAAAAATAAATCCATATTCTTATAAATAAATAAATAAATGTTTTATTCTCGAATTCATCCAGGCACACCAATTCAGGTATGATCAAAATTTACAAGGAATGATCCAAATTCAGAAGCTTTGGGCTTTGTCTTCCATTTCATGCCTATTGCTACAAAGTTGAGTCAATGGCGTTTATACTCGCAGGTGCCTACATCCACTTATTCCACTATTAGAAATGACCCCCTGATTATCGCGATATTTACCCTTGGCACCTTTCCCCGTAATGATACCACTCGGGATATCGTTTCTGTTCCCCAAACAGTATGTGATACTTTCAGAGCAGCCTTCATCTTTCAAAAATAACAGTTGAAATTATAGCTGTCATGAAGTATGTGGATAGAGTAAAGTAAGTCTATTACAGCCGTTCCCATTTTCTCTATTTTTGTTTAGCTCATATAAACTGCGCATTTGTGGTGGTACTTTACAGCCATTTGCCTTCCTTTCTAGAAAGTGGAAGAGGACTTGGAGGATAAGATCAACCGAATCATCCAAGAGCGTTACCCTGATACCAAGTCGTGCTTTCGTTCCTGGCCATTCGCATTGGTAGCAACATGGTTTATGTTTGGATTATTGCGTTTTTCTTACTTCTTCAGCCAACTATCTTCACAGTTGGAGCTGGCTTTCAACAAAGATCAGGCAATTGTGAACAATCTGCTTTTCATTTCCTCCGCTGTGTCTATGTGTGGTTTGTTTGTGGCTCCCATCACAGGCACCATCATGGATGTATCAAAGAAAGCTTATCGAAAGTTGTTGAAACGATGTATTGCTGACAAACCAGGCTCCCTAAAAGATAGACACATTTACTGGATACACTTGCGGTCTATGGCTCCTGCTACTGCAATTCTGGCAAGTGCCGCCCTGATCCTATCGTGCC